AAAAAAAAAGAAAGGCTCTAGGTGTTTACCTATATACATATGGGAAGTGGCCCACGCATTCGAATTCTATTCAGAAACGTAGTAAGGTATTGAATGTGTATGTAGCCTCCAAAAAGAGTTGCGATTGCTAGCCGAAACACAATCAGTGTTTTCATCTCTACAGACGATTACGGTGCCTATCAACCGACCCTGTAAGGTAGAAGGCTCGGTTGTCCAGAGCGGTTATTAATTTGGGATTCGTTCCAAGGTCTATGCATGCAATACTGAGCAAATTGGCACTAAATCTCGAATACGATATCATTTTATAATACCGGCCTTGGCAAGTTCTCATTTCTAAGACTGGTTTTTGAGGGGTTGATTTTTGTAGACGTGGTGTAGTGGCAAGTGGGGTACTTTACACACGCTATCACGGGTTTGAACCATGAATGGGTATATGCCTCGGCTAACCAAGCCTTTCATCTCTCCGAGGTCGCTTAATTGGTACCAGACTTGTGTGGGAGGATAGAAACACTGACTTGTAGATCAGCTGGCCACAGCAAGTCATTGTATAGGCCCCATAGCATTCAATACGCCACAGCATTCTGAATGTAGGTCGAATGAGTGGGTGCATTATCCCATGACTCAATTTTCAATTACACCTCCCTTAATAAATACCAGTTAGGATAGAAGTGGAATCTCATCCAACTCTTTTGTTTCTCAATGGTTCTGTTTGAGGATGCTCTTGAAAAAGAACTTCCAAAGCCTGCCGTACGAATAATACCTCCTGAACGCTATGCCTATGCGAAACAACTCGATCCTGAATCGTGTTCTGCTGAGTACAAGGCATTCAAGTCTATCATGGCTAAGAAGGTGCCTACTGATAGTGGATTGATGTATTCTTCGCACACCGCAATTCTTTGTATGCCACGTCCTTCACGATTATTCACTTTTAGTACCCCTTTGAACTGGATGGGTTCCAACAGGCTGCAGTTGTTTGCATGGAAAAAGGAGAATCGGTCTTTGTTGCTGCTCATACGTCCGCCGGAAAGACAGTAGTAGCTGAATATGCGGTGGCTCTTTGTGAGCATCACAAGACTCGGTTTGTGCTAGTCTTATAGGTTTGCAAATTCACCTTATAAAGGTTGAACTAGGTACGACTAATGCGGTTAAAGTGGACTGAAAAAATCCATAATTTCTTAGTTTGGAGAGAAATAGGGATTTCGAATTCCTCATTTTGATTAAGTCGTGTTTTCAGTTGATTTTAATGTTTTCTTTATCAAAACTATTTTATTTCAGGGCCATTTATACCTCTCCGATAAAGGCTTTATCCAATCAGAAATTTCGAGATTTCAAGATGATGTTCACAGATGTTGGTCTCGTTACGGGTGATATTCAACTGTTTCCTGATGCTTTCTGCCTTATAATGACCACAGAAATTTTGAGGTAATTACTCTGGAAATCTGAATTATAAACTATGATCACTATACCTTGAATGTCAAGCGAAAGTTGGAGTAATGGGGGGCGGTAGACCGCCGAAAACAAATTGATGGGAAGTAGAACTCAGACAGGGCCAAAGTTTTATCCACAACTCGTCAACCATGTGGGAACAAATAGAATTTTCTCAAAAGCCGGGTCTTGGAATTCGATTTGATTGGTAGGTGGTTAAAGGGTGTGGGAGAAGCCGGTAAAGATTTTTCAACTCGCTTTCGTCAATTCCATGTTGAACTAAGCCAAGGGCACGCCTGAGGAGATCACTACTCGTCTGTCTTCCTTTTTGTAGCTCAATGGATGTCTTAAACTTCATATCTATAGATCGATGCTTTATAACGGATCCGAGGTGGTCCGAGATTTGGAGTGGGTAGTGTTCGATGAAGTTCATTATATCAACAACGCTGAAAGAGGACATGTTTGGGAAGAGGTATGTGAGTCGTTCTGCCCGTTTGGTGTCACAGAGAAATACTTCACTACCGCCATCGTTCAGGTACTCATAATGCTTCCTTCTCATGTGAAAATAGTGATGTTGTCAGCCACGGTGCCAAACTGCATTGAATTCGCTGACTGGGTTGGGTAGGTTACTTCGTGCTGTGGTAGGGGTATTTTTGAAATCAATTACAGTTTTGCTGCTTGCTTTACAGACGTATAAAAAACCGAAAAATCAATGTGGTATCAACATTGAAACGTCCGGTGCCCTTGGAGCATTACCTCTATACGGGGCAGGATGGTAAAACGAAGAAAGATCTGTTCAAAATTGTTGACATGAATGGTAACTGGCAAGAAATCGGATATAGGAAGGCGGCGGAAACTAAGGTAGCTTTTGCTGCTTTGGAATTTGATTTTTATCTTTTCAACTGTCCGTATTTCTAGGCAAACAAGCGTGATCCACCTGCCAATCAAGCTGGACAAGGTGGAGGGCAAGGTCGTGGAGATGGTGCCAACAGAGGGCGTGGCGGACAAGCACGCGGCGGGCAAGCTCGCGGCGGACATAGTGCGTGCCTGGCGGACCTGACGATTCTTTCATGATATTTGACCCCAGTTCCCATGAAAACATCAAAATGTTCCAGGCGTGAGCACCGGTGGCTTCACGGGAAAACCAACTGGGAAAAACGATAAGAATGTCTATATAAGTCTGATTGATTTTCTGCGCACCAATGAGCAACTGCCAATGGTGGTTTTCGTATTCTCACGAAAAAGGTACATAGCATACGAACTTTTTTTGGATTTTTTTTGTTTTTTTGTTTGTTTGTTTTTTTTTT